CTACTACTACTACTGCTGTTACTACTACTACTACTACTACTACTACCACCACTACTACTCCCACTGCCACTACGAACTACTAGGACTACTACTACTGCTGTTACTACTACTACTACTACTACTACTACTACTAGTCGCCACCCCCCCCCCCTCTACCAACCACTGGCGCCATTCAGGCTGGGCAGTGGCAGCTTCTAGGCTCCGTCAGTGCGGCAGCAGCAGAAGGTGCAGGGGCTCAGGCTCCCTATCTGCCACAGCTGCAGAAGTTGCAGAGGCTCACTTGCCTTAACTGCCACAACCGGTGAAGTTGCAGAGGCTCAGGTCTCAAAATTGCGACAGCAGTTGGAGTTGCAAACTCGACGGGAAAGAAACTGCTAAAGCACAGGCGGTCGGATAGTACGAAAACGCTGCAACATGCAAATACCGTGCAAGACGCAGGTGCCTCCAAGAAGGTTTTAACACTCCTCAAACCTGGAGCGCAACATCTTATAAAAATCGAAAACAAAGATGCAGCTGTACGTGGGAAGAGCTCGCCAACATCCCTAATGCCCAGACCTCGGCGTAGGAGGGCTTGCTTTTGAAGTACTGTGTGGTGTGTGGGTGTGGAGATATTGTTCGGGTGTCCACGAAACAGTGTCGTGATCATCCACCCGAAGAGCTTCCCCCCACCCAATTTCGAGTTTTCGCCGAAAGCCTCCGAAATCCCACAGTCGAGTTCGCAAAGTGCAGAAGTAGGTTTGGTGAATATATAGAAAAGGTCCGACATCACGAAAGTACTGCAAATACCGAGCAAATCGGCTGTTGTGGAGATTTTGTTCGCTGTGTCTGTGTAAATGTCGTCATCATCCACCCCCCCACCTCCCCCCCCCAACCCTCCCCACCGCCTCCCACCCAAAATCCGAAGCTGAATTGCTCAAAGTCGCGGAGTGGTTTTGGAGGCAACAAGAAGTGCTAGGACATGACGAACGTACCGTAAATACCAAGTAAAATGGATGTGCGGTTACAGGGTGTATAACAGAGATGGTTGGTAGGGGGGGGCGCTTACTACTACTGCTACTACTACTACTACTTCTTCTTCTTCTTCTACTACTACTCCTTCTTCTTCTTCTACTACTACTACTACTACTACTACTACTATCACGTTACTATACCGCTGCTGCTGGCATTCTTGTCAGTTACAGTGAAGCTCAAAAATTCCAAGGTGGAGCATGTGGAGATCCTCCTGCTCCTACGTCGCCAGTGTTCTGCATGGAGTTCCGCACAGGCTCCAAAAGCATGATGCAGCCCGGGAACCAAACGTCCGTTGGCGATCTCGGCGTTTAGTTTCTTCTTGAGACCCTCGGGATCGGCGGATGTGATCGCCTGTCGGAAGATGTCAATGCTTCCCAAGACTTCCGATAATATGCTGCATCTCGCCTGACCCCGAGTACGAACCTTAAACCTCCAGCCCGGATTGGGAGCCCCCTGATCCTGAATCCCCATACGGCTATCGAAAAGTTCTTCACCAAGCCCTGTTGCCCTGGACATCATTCGCTCCCCCACTTCAGCCCTGCTTAAACCCTAAACCCTAAACCTCTTCAACTTCCTAAGCTTTGCAGCCTTTGAGAACCAGATGCGGGCTCTGAGGCTACAGGCGAGAGCTCAGGGTTTGGTGCTTGACTAGGTTTAGGGTTTGGGGTTTGGGGTTTAGGGTTTAGGGTTTAGGGTTTAGGGTTTAGGGTTTAGGGTTTAGGGTTTAGGGTTTAGGGTTTAGGGTTTAAGGTGAAAGTATGCGTAATATTTAGAGTGGGGCCCTGGCGTGGGATCTCTACCCGGACCTTCCAGCCGTATGCTCCTGGCTCGCCCTTGAACTTGTAGACGAAGAGCTCGTAGTAGCCTGTGGCTTGGTTGTGGACTTGCCATCAAGGTGGTTCTAGAATTCTGCAATGGCTTATTCAAGCAGACTGCCACGGCCGAGCTGTAAATGTAGTTTTCTTTCAGCAGAGGTTTTTGCTGCTTAGTTGAAACTAGCAAAAAACCCACAGTTTCAAACGGAGAGTCGTTCCTCGGCCTCGAAGGGGGCGTTTAAAGGACCAGGGAACCCTTTGAGACATTCAGCACACCTGGGGCCTGGAGCCAGTTGAAAGTCTCTTGAAATCCACTGCCTGCAAAGGCCACGATCTGAGCCCAGCCAGCACCAGGCACCTGCCACAGCAGAACGGTCAAGCTTTGGAAGTTCAGTCTGCAAGGCTTCAACGTGTTGGCGAGCTTGCTCATGCATTCACAGTGAAGTAGACAAACCCATGTCGCATTCCCCGGGTTGCATGCCTGAAATCTTGGGCAAGATCGAGGGTGACAGAAGGGAGGCTTCATGTATTTATTTTCTTTCTGAGATGTAACTTTTCAGCTTCTTCAGGAAAACTACTGAGCGGTAACTTTTTCTCTCCCCCTAAACAGCGAATCTCTGCAGAGATTGGTTCGAACTTGTTCGTGTATTTCGCTGGGTTCATCCCTTAGGGTGTTCGTCTTCGGCACAAAGCTCAAGCTGCGTTCACTCCTTGGGGCTTTCGTCCGCGTTCAAAGGTTCACCCAACAGGTTCATGTTGGGTTCACTCGTTAGGGTGTTCGTCTTCGGCGTTCTGTTTGTGATTGTGAGTCGAAGTAGGAAGACGATGTGCCTGATCAATGGCATCTAAGAAGCAAGCATCAAGACTTTGCATACTTTCCGCCCGGGAAGTCAAAGCACAAAGTTCTATTTCTATTCTGCCGTCCTTACACAGTCGAGCACATGGCACCTAGTCGCATACTACATCGTCAAGTACGTACTACGTCAGTACGCTTTACGGCAAGAATCTCAGGAACAAGCAGAACACAATCCGTGTTGCACTCATCATGCCATCTCAGATATTCTGCGGCTCTGTGTGATCTCGGGTGCTGCAGCAGACTCTTGTATAACTTGGCATAGTATACCGTACAACAATACACGATTCTATAGTGTGCTATATTGATTATGGTAGACTATAGAATCTACACAGCCTTCTTCTACTTCGGCCATGAGCAGGAACGCAGGAACTCGCTTCACCGATGGCTCGTGCAGAATGGAGTTTAAGCTTTGGTCCCAAATTCTGCGCAGCAAACCTAGCATGCCTACATGGCGTATTTTTTCGCGCACGGTCTCCGAGCGCTAATCCGCGAGGCTTTCTTGCATACTGTAGGAAAAGTTGCGTCTAAGAGAAAGTTGCGTCTCAGAACAAAAGTTACATCTAACCCTGCTACCCCGACATCTACAATGCGAGCTGTAAGCTTGAGAAGTTCAGGGCAATGGACATGCCAAATTTGCCTTGCAGTGACGACCCTCTCCTCTGCACCCAACCTCAACTCATCCTTTCCTCGAATTGCTGCACATGACAGCAAACTTTTTATGTCCCAACGCCGTAGTACGATTGGAGTACATTCAAGGTCGGCCAGTTTTCGACCTTGTGGCCTCTGGAAATTTGGAATCAGGAAAGCCTTGCCATCAGCACCAACCATCACCATCAGAATCGGTATTCTTCTTCATCAGTCTCGCTCCGCCCTTCCGAACCACGAAGACATGAATCTAAATTCTACTACAGCAAAGCTTCCGCTAACCTCAAACTCAGCGCCCTAAGTGCATGAGTACGAACCCTTACGGCCTTGGAAATGGCTGCCAGGCCATTCGGCACATCAGAGAACTTCCTGTGCTTGGCTCAGCACTTAAGATTGACGGGACTCACAAGGCTGCCAGAGACAAGAGGCGTTCCAAGCTGATGCACCATGGCTGACCGACTAACGAAAGGATCATCCCCCCAGCTTCTGTTGATGCTCGCATCGTCAATTGTGGCATTCCAGCAGCCATTGCGTAGTGGACATCTAATGGAGTCTGGGGCTTCGTCGCTACCTGGTCCTACCAGTAGGGATTTCAATAGTCCGATTCTGCCCGTCATCCTGAAGAAAGTTCGACAGACTTTCACGTAAACACAGCAGGAACCTTCTCACCGTTCTAAGACCCAGCTCGGATCCCAAAACCCTGCGCATATTGCTTCCCAGCTTCAGGCCCAGGGAGGGAGAGAGGAAGCCAGGCCACTTGAAGTACTCCGGTACAATATATCCAACGGTGGCCTCGTTTGCCAACACAACGAAGGGGATTTGCGCGGCAGAGGACTTGGGCTTTGGCTGCTGGGTTCTGGATTCTGCGCCGTAGCTCCGGCCGCCAGCAAGCTGGCCCAGTGACGGCCCGGTTGTGGATCGCGCGAAGGGCGAGTCTACAACCTGCCCTGTTTGGTCATCCTCTGTTATCGCGCGTTGCCGTTGCACGGTGCCTAGAAATCGTTGTGGCTGCCATGTTCCTCCTTCGATCACCTACATGCAATAATGCTGCAGCGAGTTGTGGCAGCTAGCCGCACTGACTCTAAAAACAACAAGACAAAACATTGTCCTCAAGCATTACAGACTCACCTAGACAAACAAACTATATACACTTCAGCACAGACTACGCCCACGAGCTTAGTATCATCTCCGGTAGCGACGATGCAACTCCACCATCCACTTGTTCATTAATAGAAGTACCTAAAGGGCTCCTTAAGTTGGTGCATGTCCGAGGAATCATTTCCCCGATTGAACTCGTTGCCCGGCGCTTGCAACTTGCAACAATACGAAATGCTTTGTCTGATGCTTGTGCCAAGAAAAGTTTGAGCTCTCCGATGCCAGGCCACGTACATTGCCACTCGGCCGTGCTTGATCTCTGTCTCGCGGCGTCGCTTGAAGGTTTCCACGCTGCCGTCGCGGGTGTAGCCCACTGGGTCCCAGAAGCCTGATCTCTGAACAGACAACCCTACATTCCTCTCCCTAGCTAGATTTCGCAACTTTCGACAGCCATGCCATGGACAGAAAACGGCTGATTGTCGAATGCTTGGTCCCAACATCCGAAGGAATCGAACTTGCTTCAAGTGTTCTGCAGGGAACATCCGGAATCAAGTAAGAGGCTTCAGAGGAGAAAAAAGGACAAGCGCAAAAAGAGTCCAACCGGGGGCTCCACTACCGACTACGACACCGAGGGCCCTTACGAAGCGGCCCAGAACAGCGCCAGCCTGCAAACGGCACTCCGACGAATGCCACACTCGAATTCAGCGACCCTCGGCTGCCTCAAAGGACTCCGCCCTAGCCCCGACACGGTAACACCGAGGTTCTAGGCCTCTAGGCAGGGAAACTTCTGCACGGAGGTCTGCGACACAGTCGTTGCTGTGGCTCGCTCACAGGTTGATGAAATTGAATTCTGTCTGAATGCTCATCATGTTTGATCAGGCCACATGTTGCAGAACCATTACGACCTGCACCCAATCCCGAAGCCCATACACCGCCAAACCACAGTTGCTGAGCTCAAAGCACCATCTACAACCCAAAGGATCAGTATCCGAAGGTCCGATCAGCTCATATCAGCCCTCATCATGCTGATCAACAAATGCTGTGAAGGCCAGGACGCCCACCGGCGCCTGCACACCTAGCTCTCCCTGCACAGGTGTTTGAGTGACAAGCACCAAGACCACCGCAACGACCGCCACGACCCCGCCCCTCCCTCCTGCCCGGACCCCCACCCACCCCCACGCCCCCACAACCCCTCCCCACCCCAACCCAAGCATCTTGGAGGTTTGTGAAGGTGGTAGTTGTAGCATTAGCAGTAGTGGTCGTCGTGGTGGTAGTAGTACTACGTAGTAGTAGTAGTAGTAGTAGTAGTAGTAGTAGTAGTAGTAGTAGTAGTAGTCGTTGTAGTAGTAGTAGTAGTAGCAGCCGCAGCAGCAGTCGTAGTAGTAGTAGCAGTAGTAGTAGCTGTAGTAGGCCTAGGAGTAGTAGTAGTAGTAGTAGTAGTAGTAGTAGCAGTTAGTAGGAGTAGTAGTAGTAGTAGTAGTAGTAGTAGATGTTGTTGTTGTAGTATAGGCCGGTTTCACTGCCGTGAGTGCCAAGGCGGCTACTTGCCCGCTATGCGCTGAGCCCGCTCGCGCCGCGTGC